TCTCCGTCCAGGCCCCTGGCCTCCTCCCAGCGCCCCCTGGGTTAGAGGCTCCTGAGCACAGTGGAGCCGGGCCACCAGCCCCTCCCTCTTGGGAATGGCCCTGGGCTCAAATGGCCCAAGCCCATTAGGCATATGATTTAGGCGTGAATATGCTAGTTTTGGTCATCATTCCCAGTTGTAGACAAGTCTTTATTCTTGTCAATTTATTTGAAACACTGGGTGTGCATTTGGGCCCCATTCCCTCACCTGGGCTGTGTTCCGGGACGCTGTGTGCTGTCTCTGGTCACCTGAACCCTGCGTGTCACTGGTCCCTCCCAAGGACAGGTCTTAGGATGGAGAAGTCTCCCCCACAGGGGTCTGCATGGGGGAGGCCCCGAATCCAGGTCAGTGGGACCAGAGGTTTCTGTCTCACCTCCTGGATGTGTTACACACTGTGAGTAAGTGTAGCTGCTCACACGGCCCTGAGCTTTGGCGCAGTGACAGTCAGCCTCGCCCTCAGGCTGCAGCCAGAGAGGAGCAGGAGCCCTGCGTTGGCCGAGGCGTCTTTGGACCCCGAGAAGCGGCTGGGGACCCCGGAGCCCTGATGTTTATTTGAATCTGAGTAGAACCTCAGGAGATAGTGGGGAGGGCTGGCCGGCTTCTGCTGGAACCAGTAAATGTGGTAACTGGCAACACTATAGACGCTGCTCAGGGTGCAGTTGGGTCTGGCTGATGAACCCCGGGTGCAGAGATGGACGGGCTGGGTCAGCACAGGCTGGGCGAGGGAACCTGCAAACACACGCTCATGGCTGACAGGCAGGGACAGGGAACGTGGCTCAGGATCTGAGCCAGAGGGGCTGATGCAGGCTGGAGGGTCGCCCTGTGTCCCTGAGGCCTGTCCCTACGTGAGGAGGAGAGGTGTCCAGTCCATGGTGCACACAGCCCCTTGGCCCACTGCGGGCTGGGCAGCCCAGGCCTCCTTCTCTGCTCCACCCTCTGCCAGAGGCGGGGCTGCCATGCAAATGGCTCCCACCCAGGGACTCGCAGCCCCTCCTTGATCTCAGGTGCCAGAACACAGCTCACACCAAAGGCTCAGGATATGCAGGTGGGCTTCACCCCTTAGAAGAGCCCAGGAGGAAGCATCTGCTGAGACCACACAAACACCCCTGCTCTGGGGACTCTGCCAGGCTGAGGGACACAGCTGCCGAGTCCGCATCAGTGATCAGAGGGTCCAGCCCCCAGGCCCAGGCTCCCTTGAGGGAATGCCCCACAATCCTCCCTGAGCAGCTGTGTGGGGACACCAGGGCAGCCCCACAACAACCCTGCTGGTCCCAGGCACCCACCTTGCCTTGGCCCAGAGCCCCAGGAGCCTAGCTGGCATCTGCAGCTCACCAGGCCCCTGTCTATTCACACATGCAGGTCTGATTCCTGGATGCCGTGACACCCGCACGCTGGACTTGATCACCCTAGTATCCCACTTGCAGAAGCAATCCCCAACCATGGGAGGCACTAACACGCACAGATACGACATGTCAGAAACTTAGTGCCCCAGGGAAGGGGCTGCAGTCACCTCATCCCTCCACTGGCATGTGGTTAGATGGCGCAGACAGTTGCGTGTCCCCCTCCTGGGCATTGAAAAGTGGGTTCCAATATTCTCACATTAATATGTGTTTACTCTCATTATATTGAGCTAATTTGTTTGCTGTAACAACTACAAATCAAAGGAAGACATACAAGATCAAAGCATTCCATCGGTTCAGCGCACATGAGGCCATATTACATTAGAATAAAGTCCACATTGCAGACGGAGTAGGAGACCGTCCCTGGTTGGCCTGCCTCACCCATGTCTGCCTGTTGGAACCACCTCACCCGAGGCCCCGCAGCTCACAGTCCCCATGAGAGCTGACCGTGGGGCGGGGGGCTGGATGCTGGGGCCTCACGGAGTCCGGCGGGGGTGGGAGCCCTGCATCGCCCCGTGTGGTCACGTGGCTGTTAACCGTCCTGGAGCGACATGCTAGGAGCTGTTTCCCCACCCACCGCCTCTGCAGTCGTGCTGTCCTGAGCTCAGCGTGTGCTCCCCCACCCCGTCCTCGGCAGTCTGTCTGTCCTGGGGTTGGTGTCCCGAGCTCAGCGTGTGCTCCCCCACCCGCTCCTCTTTAGTCTGTCTGTCCTGGGGGTGGTGTCCCGAACTCAGCGTGTGCTCCCTCACCTGCTCCTCTGTAGTCTGTCTGTCCTGGGAGTGGTGTCCCGAGCTCAGCATGTGTCCTCCACCCACCTGCTCCCTGTGGTTTCTTTCCTCAGCACCTGGGGGACTAGCACGCACGTCGCCACATTCTGCCAGGATGGGCCCGGAACCGGGGTGCCCGTGGTGGGCCTGGATCTTGGGTGCATGGGGTGACCAGATTCTGGGGTGTCCTGGGAGCCGGGATGGCAGGAGCTGGCCTGGAGGCCAGGCTGAGGGGACCAGTCTGGTGCCGTAGTGGCTGGGAGCCCGCATCCCGGAGAGGCTGCTGGGTGGCTACGTCCCTGCATTTCAGCCTCACATGGGTCGACGGGAGCCAGTCTGCTGCCAGCCTGCCTCTGGGGTGCCGGGACTGAGAGGGCTCTGGTGTGATCGTGGATCTGGTGGACGCTTACGGGCACTTGGCCGGCTGGCTTTGTCTGCCTTCTACAGTGCAGGTCCCCAAAGGCCTGGCTCTGGGGGACACAGCCTTTTCTGGGGCTGGTCAGGTACCTTGATTCCCAATAGCCCACATGGGGTGGGGTCTCTGGGGCCACAGGAGACTGGAGGGCCCCTGTAGCTGTCTTGACATGAGGGTGGGCTTGAAGCATGTGGAAGGGCTGTGGGCTTGGAGCTGGAGTGGCTTGTGCTGGGGTCCACAGTGAGGTCAGGGGCTCTGAGACCCAAACCGCCCCAGAGTGGGCATCAGGGTGCAGCCTGGGGTGGGCAGGGGGTCCTGTAGAAGCAGCAGGGACCCCAGAGCCCGGTTCTTCCCAAGCCGACTCTAGGAAGCTACTGGGGAGGGCACAGCAGGGATGATTTTGCCTTGGACCTTCTCGAACTGGCTCTAAACCTAAAACACCTCATAAAAATAGTCTGTGAAAAACAATAAAATATATGTGGTCATATGGTAAGAGAAAACAATCCAGGGACAGAAATTTAAACATCTGTCAATTAGAAGAAAAATTTAAACAGGAAGCCATAAGCACCATATGCCATCATAATAAAAGTCACAATAAATGAAGGATGTTCTAAGAAAATAGTAGAGTTAAGTTGCACATTGAAATCATATTTTATAATGACAGAATAAAGGAAACACTACCAGTGAATGGAACTGGGTAATGCACACATATGGAATACCTGAGACAAAAATTGAAAAGTGGAAAAGTTGTAAATGTTAAGTTCTATAAAAATAGGTAATATGCACATTTTCCTAAGAATATTTTAAAACTTGGTTCCTTCAGAGAAAAAATGAATAAACAGTGTATATCCCTTAGAAAAAATTAAAAGATACTGTAATGGAAAAATTACACAAAGAGGCCTACAGTACAGTCAGCGTTATGAGGAACAACAAATTTTCAGAATCAGATGCTCCTAGTTTCTTTGCTTCATATACATGTGTTTTTCAAAACATGTGAAATGTGGAAAAACAAAAATCACAGACCAATATTATGTAATATTCCTGCAAAAGTTCTCACTGAAATAGTAATAAAGAGATTCCACAATCAGATTAATGAATTACCATGTGAGATTGTTTTCCAGGTATACAAGCTGGTTTCCAACTGATAAACCTTTGATATAACACATCATGTTAATTGATCACCAGATAAAATTATATTATCTTAAAGGATTTTGAAAGATCCTTTTACCAAATTGAAAACAAATTCCTAATAAAAACACAAAATAAAAACAGATACATTGATAATATGGAAATGCACACTGTCCCCTGAACCCCAAACAGATAGGACAGTCCCACAGCCAGTTCCTCAGCTAACAGGGTGGGGGAAGAGGACATTTCCACCAAGATCAGGAAGCCACAGATGTGATCTTTAAGTCCATCATTATTCCACCTCATTTCCCAGTGTTAGGCGACACAGTTAAACAAGAGAAAACCAATGACTGTATTGCAGCATTGATGAGACAGACGAGCAGTCACTAGACAGGCCCGAATGTGTGACGCGGCCTTAGATGCCCTGGTGCTGGTGCAGCAGTGAGGGAAGAAATCAGTCCAATGAGCAAAGAGAACAGACATTCAAACCGATGCCTAATGGGACGGTGACAGCTCTCGGAAGCTTCTGGAACTAGGTAAATGAACCAGCATTTGATGGAGGAATCCTTAGTCAGAGCTCAGGTGTACGGTGGCCTCAGCTGGACCCCCACCGCAGCCCCTGAGCTTCAGGGCAGATGCGGTGCCCCCAGCTGGTGGAGGACGGACGCTGTCTCCCCTGGTCACTCTGCCCAGGATGGGCTGCTGTGAGTGACGCTGAGGACAGAGGGGACAGGAGGAGCCCTCACTGTCAGGCGGGACCCTGGAAAGGACCTGGGACCCTAGAGGTGACGGGAGCCACGTGCTGAGCCTGAGCAGGAGCTGCTGGGCGCCCCTCCCAGTGGGTGAGGAAAGGGTGCTGAGCTCCTCCAGGGCTGGAGCTCTTGTGCCCCGACCCAGCTGTCACAGGCCTGGACACACACTGCACAACCCTGATGAGTCCTGGTGCTGACACAGTGGAGCCTGTGGCCCTGCTCCTGCCCTGACCCGTCACGGCCTCTGTCCCCAGGACAGCCTCCCCTGGACCCAGTAAGTTCTGTTCAATTGGGGAAAATCACACAGTGTGTCATTACCAAGGGCACATAGTGGGGGCAAAATAAGGATGTGGACAGATGGTCTAGACGACGTTCTGTGCAGTGAGTCTTATAACCGAGCTTACATCAAAAAAACAAGGAAGCAGCGGACGTGGCAGAGGACGAGGCTGCGCACAAGGTTTTGGTCCCACTTCCCCACAGGCCTGAAGCACTGTGTCACCTTCAAAGCTGCCGTCCCATGATGAGCAGTAATAGTCGGCCTCGTCCTCAGCCTGCAGCCCAGTGATGGTCAGGGAGCCGGAGCTGCCAGACTTGGAGCCAGAGAATCGGTCCGGGACCCCCGAGGCTCTGTTATTATTATCATAGATGAGGAGTCTGGGGGCCGATCCTGTGAACTGCTGGTACCACTGCACCAAAATGCCAGGGATGTTGGAGCAGGGGATGGAGACCCTCTGGCCCGGGGACCCCGACACTGAGGGCGGCTGAGTCAGCACAGACTGGGCCCAGGACCCTGCAAGCGGGAGAGACACAGAGACGGTGATGCTGGGGTCTGGGGACAAGAGGAGGCGGCAGGGCCCCCGTGTCCCCCCAGACCCGCACCCTGTCCCCTTGTCCTGTCACCTGTGCACTGAGCCAGGAGGGTGAGGAGCAGAGGGACCCAGGCCATGGTGGAGTCTCCCCGAGTCCTGCCTTCTGTGGCCCCGACTCTGGAGCAGAGCTGCCCCCAGCCTCCCCCTTCCCCTCTTGATCCTCTGAGAGGGGGCGGTGCCGCTCATGCAAATGAGGCCCCCCAATACCCTGACCCTCCCTGGGCCCCGGGTCAGGCCCCTGTGCCTGAGGAGCTCAGAGGGAGGCGAGCAGGGCTGTGTGGGGCCCCGGGGGAGGGCAGGTCACAGCTGGGAGACCTGAGCAGAAGGCAGAGGAGTGCCAGGTGGCAGGGCCCAGCTTTGCTCTCCCAGACGCCTCAGGATGGGCCCCGTGCGCTCCCTGGTGTCCAGGCCCAGACACACCACGTGGACATGGTGCCCAGAGCCCAGCAGAGACAGCCCCTCCCCCACCGCTCTGGTCACTGTCCCTTCATCAGGCCCAGGCTGGGTGTCCCTTACGAGACCTCTCTATCACCTCTGGGAAGACTTTCTGCCCACGCAGAATCCTCAGGGGTGAGTCTGTGTCCAGCATCCTGGTTGCCTCTCGGCTCACGACTGAGGTGGTGTCTCTTTCAAACACTCAGATCAGAGTCAGGTCCAGAGCAGTGACCACACTGCTGACACGTGTCCCCTTTTGTGCTGGACCCTGGGGCCGCCCCCTCTTGTGTGTCCTCTTTGGTGCCCAGAGCTCTCCCTCCTGCGGATCCCCTGCTTCTGAGCACACAGGAGCCATGGTCTCCAGGGTCAGGGGGTTGGGTGGGTGGGGCCCTGCGGTGTGTCCTAGAAGGTTGTGATGGAGAATCTGTGTTGTGTGTCATTGTTCCCACACTGACCCCTACCTACCAACTTTTGTTTTGTTTTGTTTTGGAGAAGTCTCCCTACCAGGGATCCCCTCTGCAAGGTGCCATTCCATGTGACATTCTTCGCAGCATTTTACATACAGCTCTGAATGCCCTTGAGCAGTTCCGTTCCCAGGTGACCCTATATCTGGCAACTGTCAGGTGAACCATTCCGAATACTGGGTTTGGAAACAGTATAGTCCATTAAGATACTGGGAGATGTTAAATGCATCACCATGTGTAACTGGATTTGAAAATCTAAGGTCATTACTAAAATTAATCCATTAATTTCACTGAAAGAAAATCTATGCTCTACTCTAATTTCACTTTTACAACTGTACCATTGTTTGAAATATTTCCTTGCAACCCTTTGTTTTAAGGCAGCTTTTGGTTAAATCACAGAGAATTTTATTCATTAGACAAAAGAAATGAATTCTTGCAGACCCATTGCACCCTGAGGTGTCTTGGAACTGCTTCCGCTCTGACATGCGTGGTCTCCGTGTGACTCCCCTTCCCTCCTCCTACTGGAATAAGCAGGACTCTGCTAAGCTGCACAGGTGCTCACGCACAGGGTGGGCTCTGGGTCCCTGCCCAGAGGGGCTCCCTCCCTGGGGCCCTCAGCTCAGGCTCAGGGGTAGACGGGGGTGTGTGGGCAGTGGGCTCCCCCAGTTCATGCCCCGGCCTGGTCCAGCTCCACAGGGCCTGCGGGGTGAGGGCAGCTCTGTGATGGTGCCTATTCCTCAGACACCGACTGGACTTGGGGTGGGGGCGGCGTGGGCGCAGGTGAGTGCACAGCCACGCCCCAGCGTCCTGGCGCTGCCCCTGAAGAGGACACACATGGGAGGTGACTGCCCATCACTTCCCCTCGTAGGTGTTCACAAAGGAGGGACTGAGGGCATGTCTGGAAGGCCCGGGTCCTGACCGTCCGTGGCCACATGATGACATTACAGGGTCCACACAGTACAGGGCTACCTCACCTGCGCTCCAGCTTAATGGCAGCAGTGCCTCAGCCCTGCCTCTGCCGCAGGCCGCCCGGTGGGGCTACACTTTTTTGGAGATTCCTCCCTCTTGTCTCCATCTGTGTGTCCTTATTTCTCTTGCCACACTCAGTTTCTCCAGTGATATAACACGCCCATCCTAACACCTGCTTACCGTTACCGCCTCTAGTTCCTGCAGGATTCCCGGGTCCCAGTGTGGACCCTTCCACCACCACCCAGCACAGGGGACTGCAGACCTTCTGCCCTGAGGCCTGGGCCCCAATCTAGAGCCGAGCCTCAGCCTCCTCGGCCTGTTCCACCCTACAGCCACTTTTCCTTATCCAGAAAATGAGAGGTGGAGCCAAGGAGTCCTTATATTATCCATCCTTGTTGCAGAAAGAACTTTCTGGAAGCATCTACACACAAACTGAGGAGGGAACCCCCTCCCTATGAGGGGAATGGGCAGGGATGGTGGATCCCTGAGCTTCTCCAGATGGCAACGTTATGAGCTGGGGGCAGCCCTGAGGGTGGGGGGCTGAGGTCACCCTGCATGTTCCGTCCGTATCACAGCATAGTGACGTCGTCCCAGGCTCAGGGGACCTTTCTGTTCAAAGTGAGACAAGACTGACCAGTGACGGGCATCCCCACGGCTCCTGGTGGGCATCCCTCCCCAGGGGCAGGCCCACTTCCTGGCATGTGGGGTGTCAGTCATGCTCCCTCTGGGAAGTGGGTCCTCACGGAGTCTCAGGGCACTGAGCCTCCCCCAACCCCCCACGGCTCCCAGGACCCCTGCCCCGGTGTCTGTCTCCCAGCCCCGCGCATCAGAGCCTCTCCCTCCCCGCCTCCCGGCCCCCTGGTCCAGCCTCCTGTCTCACCTGGACGTCACCACAGCCCCACCTGGTCCTGCGTCCCCCCGCCTGCTCCCCCACCCTCTGGGCAGCACCGGGACCTCACCATGACCCCAGACTCGGGGCCCCTGCCAGCCTCTCCGCTCCTTCCCTGCCCCCGCCTCCCCTCGCTCTCCCGGGACGCATCTCTCCTCTTCGGACGCTGTCGGCTCCCTGCACCTGCGGCCCTTCCTGTCCTCTCAACACTGTGCCCTGGGCCCCTGGACCCGCGTCTGGGTCACCGTGGGTTTCAGTAAAAGGTGAGGATGCCCTTCATCTGGGCAGCTGATTACTCCGAGGCAGACACAGCTGGGCCCTGGGTCCCTGCTTCTGTCCTGACCCCCCGATAAGGCTTGAGCTGTGTCCCCACAAAACCCTGTGTGGAAACCCCAACCCCAGAGCGACTGTATGCGCGATTTAAAGAGGAAATTAAGGTAAATGAAGTCATGAGGCCTCAACAAACGCGGCGGGTGCCTTTACAGACAGAGGAGCAACCAGGGCTGAGCGCAGGGAAGGGCCGCGTGAGGACGCGGGGAGCCTGGGCCTCCGCAGCCGAGGAGAGAGGCCGCGGGGACAGCAGGCCTGCCCGCGCCGTGACCTTGGACTGCCAGCGCCAGGACGGGGAGAAGAGACGGGTCCGCGGGCTGCGCCCCCCAGTCTGTGGCGGGTGTGACGCAGCCCCGGCAGAGTGACGCTCCCCTCGTGGACGCTGTCCCCAGGGCGGCCTGCCCAGCATCCAGCAGTTTCAGCTCAATTTGGGCAAATCGTTCCCGGTGCTGACAACAAGGACAGGCCTCGGAGGAAGAATCTGTGAGGACGAGGACAGGTTCCCCGGGCCCGATCCCAGGGCTGGTGCTCGGAGCCCAGTCCTCAGCCAAACAGACGAGGGCGCAGCTGACGCGGCCTGAGGACGGGGCTGCCCTGGAACCCCAGTGCCAGGGGACGGCGGGGTTTTTGTCTCACTTCCCCACAGGCCTGAAGCACTGTGACACCTTCAAAGCTGCCGTCCCATGATGAGCAGTAATAGTCGGCCTCGTCCTCAGCCTGCAGCCCAGTGATGGTCAGGGAGCCGGAGCTGCCAGACTTGGAGCCAGAGAATCGGTCCGGGACCCCCGAGGCTCTGTTATTATTATCATAGATGAGGAGTCTGGGGGCCGATCCTGTGAACTGCTGGTACCACTGCACCAAAATGCCAGGGATGTTGGAGCAGGGGATGGAGACCCTCTGGCCCGGGGACCCCGACACCGAGGGCGGCTGAGTCAGCACAGACTGGGCCCAGGACCCTGCAAGCGGGAGAGACACAGAGACGGTGATGCTGGGGTCTGGGGACAAGAGGAGGCGGCAGGGCCCCCGTGTCCCCCCAGACCCATCCCTGTCCCCTTGTCCTGTCACCTGTGCACTGAGCCAGGAGGGTGAGGAGCAGAGGGGCCCAGGCCATGGTGGAGTCTCTCGAGTCCTGCCTTCTGTGGCCCCGACTCTGGAGCAGAGCTGCCCCCAGCCTCCCCCTTCCCCTCTTCATGCTCTGGGAGGGGGCGGGGCCGCTCATGCAAATGAGGCCCCCAGGACCCTGACCCTCCCTGGGCCCCAGGTCAGGCCCCTGTGCCTGAGGAGATCAGGGGGAGGTGGGGAGGGGCTGTATGGGGCCCTGGGGAGGGCAGGTCACAGCTGGGAGCCCTGAGCAGAGGACACAGGCAGTGGCAGGTGGCAGGTCCCAGCTCTGCCCTCCCAGACCCCTCAGGACGGGCCCGTGCGCCCCCTGGTGTCCAGGCCCAGACACACCACGTGGACATGGTGCCTGGAGTCCAGTGGAGACAGTTCCTCCCCCACTGCTCTGGCCACTGTCCCTGCATCAGGCCCATGCCAGGAGGGCCCTGGGAGGAACCACTTGCTCTGACCACACAAACACCCCTGCTCAGGGGCCTCTGCCAGGCAGGGAAGACACAGCTGCCGGGTTCCGTCTGTGAGCACAGGGCCCAGCCCCCAGGCCCAGGCACCCTGGAGGGAATGGTCCCCACCTAGCAGCTATTAGGGACCCCAGGGCAGTCCCACAGCACCCCCTGCCACTCCCAGGTACCCCCTCCCCTTGGCCCAGAGCCCTGGAGCCCAGCTGGAGTCTGTAGCTCCCCAGGACGGTCTGTCTATTCACAGGTGGATGACCTGGTTTCTACAGACGCTCATTCCTACACGGTGGGCCTGACTGTCACCCCCAGAGAGATTCCTGGCCTATGAGTGGCTGCAGCTGTCTTAGGTCAGCTCCCCTGGAGTGTAAGGTGATGAGTAAGTGACCCACAAAGGTCAGCAGGTCAGATGTCACCGGCAGTGCTCGGCTGTGCCTGACGTAGGGGCTCTTCGGGGAAGAGGACTGAGTCAGAGGGAGCTGCTTAGTCTCTGCCCAGGAGGAGGCA